AGAAACATGAAAATGGGATAAATGAATATTCATCCTCATAATCCATCCCTCTAACACTCCCATTGCTCTACTCCCTTTGTAAGCTTCCACCTTACAGGATATTTCCATTCGAAGCAAGAGATTTGCTTGATCTTCAATCTCTTGAAGACGTCTCCTATTTGCCTCTGCTGCATCAATAGGAGTTGGTTCTGGCTGAACTTGGGAAGCTTGAACTTGAGGTTCAACTTCCATCTCTCCAACTCTCTCTCTCTCTACTTTCTCACTCTCTAATGCGAAGATTTTATCTTCCATGGCTTGCTGCTTGGTATGCCCATCTACTATTGCTTTTCTCAACTCCTTCATCTCCGCCATGATTGCATTGAGAACCTCACCCATATCAATTGATGTTCCCATGCTTTCTCACACTCCCTCTAATACAAAGTGAGTATAATCACTATGTGACCTCTCAACAAAGGAGTCACAAAAGGTGCAGGTGACTCTATCACAGCTCTATAGTACTCCTCTCCATAATTCCTCACAAAAAAATCTCTCCATATCCTCTTCTGTCTATATACTGTTCTAATCTCTACATAAGTGCTGAATCGAACCGGGACAGGTGGTTCGCGATTCAAATCCATGAAACAATTAGTATAGAATGTATATAGTACAATTCCAAGTCTCTCCATAAGTAACTATTGGAAGAATCAGTGGCACTCTTGACTCCATCACTCTAGTAATAAAATCTGCACCCCAACAAGCCACAAGGTACATCCGAATATGATGTTTCTCCATGCAACGAAGGTGAATATCGAATAGGTTAGGAATTGGCCAGTGCGGTACTGGATTCCTATCAATCCCTTCCATATCTGCAAAAACACAATTTCCCCCTTCCACCTCTCTCTACATGCAGATGAATGACCTCTGCCAGCCTCTATACACTCTCAAGACTACACTCCATCATCACTCACTTGCTATTCCATGAGGGGTAATCCACACTCAAGGAAAAAGCAAGGTCGCTCTGATACCATTGTAACACTAGGGTTTAGAGAGAAGTTCACTCGAAGTTAGAAACGTAAACTCTGAAAATGAGAGATACCAACAATGGTTCTCCTCTCCCTTATATAGCTCTCACCAACCAGTACAAGGTGATAAGATCTAATCCCCACCATCCATCCCACTCTTAGTGGATGGATGACATGGCGTATAACCCTAACAAGCACACGGATCGCTGACGTGGCCCACCCAACTAACACACTAACTAACACACTCAATTCTTACCTACAAGCACACGGATTGCTGACGTGGCACTGTCAACTAACACGTCCACTTTGTACCTACCAAGTGCGCGGATCGCTGACGTGGCAGCTATGACTAGTGCACACTAAAGTATCTACATCAATATTCAGAGTAACCTCTACTTTAGTTCTAACTAACTAAAGATGGTTACACAAACACACATATCGTTGTCGTGACAATGTCAACTAACACATTTACTCTCTACCTATCAAGCACGAGGATCGCTAATGTAGCAGCTATGACTAGTGCATGCTAAAGTAACTATAAATTCATCTTGAATGACCTCTATTTTAGTTTTAACTGAATAAAGATGGTTACAAACCTACTTTTTTAGACGCAACGTTCTCGTTGCAATTTGGTTCAAATTTTGAACTATTAACGGAGCATTAGCTAGATTTCTAGCTGATTGTCAAGTTGATTTGTAGTCTTTATTTATTTTTCATTGAATCAAATACTCAACGTTGGAATAATCATGGCAATAATCACTCAAATCCGTTTTGTGAATATCATTTCAATATGAAATTACTCATGATCAACTATCAAGCTTGGTAAAGGAGTTAATATTGGTTTGTTTATGAATTGTTGCAATCGTGATACAATTGTTGCAACCGTGACACATGAAATACATGATGTATTATTATATGTGCCGGAAGTTTCAACTTGTATGACATTTCATCAACACGTTTCAATATCATAAAAGTACCAATGAATTTAGTATTAATATTTAATTTTCATACTAGATACAATTTTTTTGTAGTATATCAAACCTAATCTCCAACCTAAAAAATATTAACTTCCAACAATGAACGTCAGCATACTGTTTTTGTCAATTTTGAGCAATCAACAACTTCTCTTTTGCCTAATGTAGCACTTTGTGAATATATTGCAACATGATTCAACAAAGCATGCGGATGAGAGCATACGCAAGTTGCTTCTTGACCTCCACATACATACACAATCTTCATGTTGAAATGTTGACGCCACTCAATCCATCTATCGGTCTTTAGCACAAATTTTTTATGACTCAAATAATGCTTCCAAAATGCATGTTTTATGTAACTTGACAATTTGGATTCCAACCGTTATTCACATAGCTTGCAGCGTCCAACAGATGTGATGGATTTAGGTAAAAAACTCTTGCTCCACCTCGTTTTCATCTTTGTCCAATTCTTTTTTCTACTTGTCAAGCTCGTTGAAGTTGAAGATATTCTACAGATCTAAATATTTATATCGTTTCTTGAGAGAAGCAAAAATTCCAATATCACAAGATTGTTTCCAACTAATAAAGTTTGGTGAAAAAAATACCAAACGTACGTTATTGCGTTTCAAAGCATCGAAGTGTCATGGCACATTATACATCACTTTATAAACGGGATGTGTGTTTTTCTTTTGATTTCTAGAACAAAGATTTTGTTGAACCATCTCTAATAGATTTTCACATACATCTAAAATTTTACTTGATTGAAATAAAAAATTGACCAGTATTAATCTTTGATACACGCTGGGTCCTTCGTCTTTCTAATCATCAAGCAAGAAATTTTGTGATTCAAAAGCATTTGCACAAATAATCAAAGAAACACAATTTTTTGATTTTTTTTACCTCTAATGCTTGAAATATCCTCGTTCGACATAAGATTAGAATATCAAGGAGTCAAAAAAAAACACAATCATGTCTCGTCCATGTTGTACACGTTTTGAGTATTGTACAGAGCGATGATGAATGATAATTCTTCCAAGTCTAATAGTAATCCATGATCATTCTTGTCAACCTCTACGCTTTCTCCTTGAAGAAACATTTAAAAAAAATCTTTCAAACCATTTCCATGAGGCCTTAAAATCTAAATAAAAAATTGATAATGTAGAAACAATAACTTTTGTCTTTGCGAGAGATGGCGATACAAGGAGCCTAGCACGACGTATGTTGTAAATCCAAGTGTACAACATTTCTTCAAATTTGGAAAATTGTTCAATTGCAGCTTTAAAGTTAATATGCCTAGTTTCTTTGAAGAATTAAACTTATCATTCAAGAATGAAATCTCATTTCTCTAATATTTTCCTTACAGCACCTTTGCTAATTTTATACTTGGAGTATTGTTCTTTCTCATTTATGAAATAATCTCACATTGTTGAGATTCGTTCATACGCTTGGTGTTTAATTTTTTTGACATTGGAGATTTTGGCAAATGATCTCAAATTGAAATGTTCCGCACAAAAATTTAGAATTTAAGTTGCGTACTTAAGTGGAAGATAACTGTATTTTTTAATTTCATAGTTTATGTTTTCATCTTCGATTGAACTTCTTTCTAAACTCTAGTGTTATAGATTACCAAACAAATCATTACTACAAGATAATGAATATTTTTTTTTCAACGTTTGCTGGTTCAATCCATAGTAATCGATACATAGTTTTATGAATATATACTTCTTCTTCAAAAAGAGCATTGGAGTTTCATAAGTTACAGTACTTGGTTAAATGAATATCTCACTCAACATATCTTTCACTTGAGTTTTGAATTTTTCCAATTCGTTTGGAGCCAAACGATATGAAGCTATGCAAGTTGATGTATTTCTAGTATTCAATTCAGTTTTGTGATCAACTTGTTTTTTTGATGATAAATCTGCATGTATATCATATGGAAAAAACATCTTTATACTCTATAAAAATGTAGTTCAAAGATTTAGAATTGTAAAATTTATTTGTGGATTTAATATCTCCTATAAATCTTAACAGTAAAAAATGATATTTTATTTATCACAAAAAGAATAAAAATTTTCTTTTGAAATATAATTGTATCTATATAAATCTTTCTATCACTATTTGTTAACATTTTTCTTCTCCAATTTTAAATAATACACAAATTGTAAATAAAATTATAATTTATTAAAATTTCCAATTTAAAATAAATAAAAAATTGAAATATATATCAAATTTAGTTATACATATATTATTTAAATATTTTTTATAAGATACAAATTAAAAAGTCAAAGAAAAACTATAAGATTGATTGAACTTGTTGAAATTTTAACTTTACATATTTGATATGTTGTTATGACAATTAAAATGATTCAGATCTATTTTTGACTCACAAAATCTACATTTGACTCAGAAGATTAAAAAAATAAAATAAAATATTAATATCATATTAAATTTTTGTAAATACATTGTGTTTGATTTCATGATAGAAAATGTATGGCATGTAAATATTGGATGAATAGTGACAGTAATAAATATTTTGCTTGCAGATTGTCATTTTATATAATATAATTGTAATAAACTGTAAACGCATGGTAATACATTCAGAGTAAAATGTTTGTATTGTAACAATAGCTATCCTTGAGAATGACATTTGCGATCGAGCTCTCTATCGATTAATCTGATGAGTATATGATTAATCTGATATACACACCGATTAATATTGTCGAATTCTTGGATGGAACATTCAACATCGCACAATTATAATATACATGCACACAATAGAATGCATTATTCGTGAATGCACACGTTAAATCATTTTGCGTTGCAAGGCCTTGAAGGAGAGGCAGATATGTCCATCAGAGGATGGAGGAGGGACGAATTGACGCGAAGGGGCGCGCGAAGCTCTTAAACCCTGGATGAACCCCCGGCTCTCCGCTCCCCGAGGCGCGGGGAGACGGAAGGAAAACAGTGGCATGTGTGCGAATAAGGCCAAGACGTGTGCCTAACAAGGCAACCGAGAAGCCCTAGAAGGCTCTGAAAGGCGGCCCTCGGCGCCGCTACTATTTCCTTCGCATCATCTACCAGCTCTCGGTGGTTCGACGAAGCATCTTCCCTTTCTCACTCTCTCTCCCTCTCTCTTTGCGCCATCCTTTCTTCACTCGTGACTGCCAGCCTCAATCTCTTTTTCTCCACTTCACCCAGCCTCGTCTCGTCTCGTCCTCGCCCGTCGGGTCGAATTTCGATCGGTGTCAGTCGTATCCGATCGGCAGTTCAAGTCCGCGATGGCGTACTTCGGTCAGTTAGGACGCATGATGATGCAGAAGATCGGGAGCAACGCCTCCCGATCCGTGCTCTCGCAGAATGTTGGAGCTGCTGCCGTTCCCGGTCTCTTCCTTCTGCAGAGTCGCGGTATGGCTTCGTCCAAGCTTTTCATTGGAGGCCTGTCATGGGGTACCGACGAGAAAACCCTGAGAGACGCGTTCGCTTCTTTCGGCGAGGTCACCGATGTGAGAATTATCACTGATAGAGACACCGGCAGATCGAGAGGATTCGGATTTGTGAGCTACACCAGCGACGCGGAGGCCCAGAATGCCCTGCAAGAGATGGACGGACGCGATTTGGCTGGCCGGACCATCCGAGTCGACTATGCCACCGATAGGACGCAAGGAGACGGCGCTGCCGGCGGAGGCTTCGGTGGCCGGCCCGGTGGCTTCGGTGGGCGACCCGGTGGCAACAGACAAGGTGGAGGAGGAGGAGCTGGCGGCGGCAGCGGCTGGAGGGGTTACTGAGCAATCCGCTCATCGGCCGTCACCGCGCCTTATACCAACGAGAGCTTCCGAGATCTCGATCTTCGAAATCTAGAGTGGTTTGAATTGTGGACGGATAGTTGTGAAGATGTTAAGCAATCTCGTTATATGTTCTAGTCGCGCATGTTGTGAAGGTCCACTGTAGGCTAACTCAATTTACCGCTGTTGTTCCATTCCTTCCACACATTACGCATTACGGCAAGATACTGATAAAGTAGCTAAACCACTTGCTCAAGTTTTTTGTTCTGCCTGGATAAAGATTGTCCATCTGGTGGATCGGTCACTGTACTCCTCCTGGATACTGTGGATTGAGGGATTGTGGTTGTTACTATTTGTAATCTCTACGAGGGGACTTGATTTGGCTGGACTAAGTGCACCAGGACTCTGATTGTGATGAAACTCTCGAAGGAAGGACTAGTTAATTGTATCTGCCTCAATTACTGTGCCTGGAACATGCAAGACAGTGGAGGAGGATCGATGAGTAGGGCTAGTCATAGTTGTAAGAGTTTCTGGATCTTGATAGAAGATAGCGTGGTCCTTACGTTCTCACTTTCGTGGAGCTTGACATGAGATACCCTATTGTTTCGGGCAACGAGATGAATGCTCTTTTGAAGAAATGATCCGTTGATATTAATGTCAACGCTGTTACGTACAATGCCTGAGTTTCATGAACCCGCGTGAGTTTCCGATTTCTGGATGGTATCTTTGGGGTTTCCGATTGCTGGATGGTAACTTTCGGGCTGACGTTCTGTATGCAGAGTGGTTTTTGGCAAACAGATTTCTGTCTGTCCGTCACCTTTGAATGTTATTGTCGCGGAGGTTGTGGTTTTGGTCAACTGATACACCGTTTGTGTCCTCCCGCTTTGCCGAGAGTACAGCGCTTTCAATTCGATTTCGCCCACCGAAAAATAGCTCGCAATTATTTTAGCTTTCGGCCGTCTAAGCTGTACACTTCTTCGAAACTTAGGGTTGATCTGCGTCTGATGAAGTTGTGTACTGGAAAAGACTGACATGTGAATAACTGTCTGTTCAATGTTCCATGTATCAAGTTTTTCTGCCCTACCCGAAGAACTCTGATCAGAGTTCTTCTGATCTACTGAACCTTCGCCCGCTAGTGTGTGCGCTCACTCTGGCGAGTATCACGAAATCGTTATTCTTACTTGGTTCTGTATGTTCACGTTCTAGATGTCGAGTAGTCCACGAATTTTCACAGAAGAAACTAGTAGAGTACCCCCGATCTACTTTCTCCGTACGCGACAAAGTCACGAACAGTGGATTTAGATGTGTGGTGTTCGACAACTTGGAAAGATCTAGAATTTTCCGTCTGGATTCCTTGGATATTTTCTAAATGACAAGCCACTCTTTAATCTTCAGGAAACTTTTCGGAAGTGTCTTAGCTGGGGAATTTGAAAGGAACGTTTCTGTAGACAGAAACAAGAATTGTGAATTTGACCATCACGAAAATGAAACGACTTAAAACGCACTGAAAGGCCCCCCCCTCCCAAAAATTCCTCGGAAATTCTACAAACAATTTCGGCAGAGTATGTGAAATAATCGTTGTACATTATTTGTGACGTATCCACCTAGTAATGGTAGAAGAAATGGACGAGAACAATCCGTCACGGAAATTCAATTCATCGACTAAGTCCCAAAAGATTGTCAAAGAGGCAGTACTCATATTGCACGGTAATGTGTTCTTAATGTACAACATGGCGGTTGGATTGTTGTGAGAGAACTGGCAGTAAAACGATTTATGCTCAATTGACTAAGATCCAGGAATAGAAGCAAGCAGTAGTGCAGCAAAAGTCTGCAGAGATCGAAGCCGCAATTCTAAAACTTTGTTAAACTTCCATGATTTGGTGAAAAGTCGCGACAATGGCAATAATAATAGCTATGCTCGATTATATTTCCTCTTTTTTTTTGGATATGGCGACTTGTCTTCCATCGCAGTCTAGACCTCATTCTCGTTTCAAGTTGTTGATGAAAACGTATAGACCCTCTTCATATAGATCAATCTTGTTTCACCCAAAAAGATTGTTGTCAATGGGTCAAGATTGTGGTTCGCCACTTATGAAATTGAAGAAAGAAAACTAGTAATTCAGGTCTTGGATATGACTCTAGTTCAATGACATAGATATTCTCTATTTTCTTTGATGAAGCAATTATAGGTTCTGAAATAGTTTCAATATCTATCGCGCTGCAAGCCATCCCATCCTAAACCAAGCCATCTGAATCCTAAATCGTGCACGACTTTCTAGTCTTTTTAACCACCACATGCAACCAGAAGAAAAAACTGTCATCCATCAACTATCGAGCTCAACGAAAGTGAGAGTAAACCTTCAGTTTACTCTCATTTACTTTCTCGACCGTAAAAGCAAAGTGTCCATGAGCTGATGGATGGGACTATGCTAAAACTAAGCAAGCGCGACGTCACCCAATCTTGGAAAAGATTCCGTGAAGCCTTGCAAGACCTATATCACCCGCGTTCGACCATGAATGTGATCGATCAGTTGTAAGTCTTCGACGAATCCAACATGATGCGGTGGGTTTACACTTCGCTTTTCTTCACCAAGAAATCAATAAAGACATCATTCAACAACAATCTTTCCTCAACTTTACACAATCCAAGAAACAGAAAAAAAGGGAGGAAGTGGAGAGTGACAAACAATATCTTTTCCTCGTCGAAATAAGCCGAAGCAGTCTATTCAACTCGTGCAAATCCTTGCCAAAGCAAGCAAATCACCCTCTGGAAATGTTTGACCAGAATTTTTGAATCTGGTGACGAATTCGCAGTATTACATTCCTAGTCTCTCTTGTTAGGATTGGATATGATCTCTTTGTCCTGATCAGTATTCCGTTTAATTCCGTTTGTGGTGAATTTCTCCCCCAACTTCTTAACAATCCAACGCAACAATCAATCATAAAACAAAGAAACAAATACAAACAAAAATATTATTCGCCAAGAAGATCATAAATGAAGGGAATTGTTAAATACACCACATTTTTTACTAAATACACCACACACCTATTTTATTTCGTCACACCTCTCTAACAATTAAATCTCAATGAAAATTGAAGACATGGCCTAATGTTTCCCATACGATTGGCTCCTCCTCTCTTCAGTTTTGAGTGTTTCATACACAACTTCCATTATCCAGTTGTGTGAGTTTTTCTCTTAATCCCTCCACATATAGAACCCTCAACTTTGATTGGTGGAGGTGGTGCCCCATGCAGAGACAACAGGAGTGACACATTCCGAAATCCATTGTGTATTCGTGATAAGTAGATGTGCGACAACCAGATGTCTGTGGTGTATTTTGTGAAAAGTGTGGTGTATTTATATAGAGAATTTAAAACTGCTAATTGCAATCATTCACTACGAGCCGTCTTAGTTTATCTAACAAGATCACAGTTCGATGATCATAACTCTAATCTCGAGCAAAATCCGAATTGAATCCTTGGATGTTGTGTGCAATTTAAAAGACCTCCAAGTACTCACTGCACATGAACTTTCTTTCCTCTTTCCTGACTTTGAATTGACAATCACTTTGATAGAGTTATGTATGAGCTCCAATTACTTATCAAACTATGATACCACAAAAAAGAAGAGAATGTCAAGCCCAGCTTATGAAAGTGTTTAACTTAGCAAATAGCTAGACATAAACATATAACTCTGAATGTTGTAATATAGCAATTTGCTTCGTTGTTCGATATATTTTGTTTCAAGAATTTAATGATTGAAATGTAAGTAGAAAAAATCACTTATGTATTTCGGTTTAGAAAATATTTTTTTTGTGTGTCCATGATTTTTTAGCCTCTAATCACTCAATCTAACATTGAAGAATTAGTTAAAAGATCATTGAAAGAATACTGTAGTACTTAAAATCTCAAGATGAGATCTAAATAGACATGATGAAATTTAGCTTTTATATATATATATATATATATATATATCTTTTTAGAGATTAGAAGAGGATTAGATTTCACCAATACTATCCATTCCACTTTTATTGAATTTATGATATAATAGATTCATAAATCAATTTATATTAATTAAATTATTATGTTAGGAAAAAATGTGTATTTCAAGTCACTATGCTTGAGTAGAAAGATAAATCAAGAAGCTTTACTCCATCTACATAGCCAACATGAATAGAAGATCTTTATCTTAAAATGCTCTCGTTTAAATGAGGAAGTAGTTTCAAAATGGGTTTAGATCAACCCCCTCTTAGAGTAGTAGAAATCCTCACTAGGTCCAATTGAGATCCTAACTATAACATATCATACAAACCTAACCATGATTAGCTCAAGTGAAGAGTTAAATTCTAACAATCTTCCACTTTATTCATGTCTTGGGATATCAAATTTCCACTAACCATATGTGCTACCTGCAAGAAGTCCTAAAAGAAGATCTAAAACATAGATACTTCAATAAACAAGTATTAATCAAAAGTAAATCGTAGCCTATAAAGGATTGAGTAAAACATATTTAAAACTAGATATGTACTAGGTCTAAGTATTTATGCTACCCAAGTGTGCAAAATTTGCAACTTAACACAATGTACTTGAATTTTTTTCAAAGTAATCACTTAGGTAAAAGCATTTTCCGGATTAAATTTATCGTTATATCATTAATTGTGACAAGTTTAATTATCTGCTCTAAAACCATTTTTATCACCTTGCAAAACTTGGTTAAATGCAAGCTGAATGAGACTTTGACTATCACAATAGATACAAACAAAATCTTGTTTTAATCTCATCTTCATGATAAGCTTGTCCAAGCAAATTGCCTCCTTGATAGCTTCCGATGGTGTTGTAATTCACAAAGAAATTCTTTTTTGCAAAATAGATCTCTAACAAATGCATACAACTACAAGTATGAAAACATATATTGTTGTAGACTTTTATAACCCTAAATCTTGGCCAAAATGAGCATTCACATATCCTATCAAGTATTTGACATTGTCAAAAAATATTATCAAACAATAAGCCAATTTCTTGTGTAAATTTTAACTATTTAAGATTCCATTTAATTGTCTCATAATTGACTTTATCGAGATTGGACATGAGTTTACTTACTTTGCTTATAGCTAGACTAATATATGATTAAATACAAGTCATCAAGTACATCAGGCTTTCTATTGCTTTATCATAAAGTATTTTAGACATAGTATCTTTATCTTCATCCGTAGTAGAATATTGATTTTTAGAAAGTTTGAAATGAGTTGACAGTGAACATTCACTAACTTTGTGTTTGTCATGTTGAATCTTGCAAGCACTTGCTCTATGTATTTGGTTTGATACTACCAAAACTTCATTGTTTTCATATACATCTTGATATCCATGCCAAGAATGTTCTTAGACTTATCTACATTTTTCATTTGAAACTTATTATCCAATTAAAGTTTAAGCATATCTATATAGGATATATTTTTTGCACATCATCCACAGACAAAGAAATATCCGAAGATGAACTTACTAACAGATTATATGTAAACACATGGATTTCAGATTGTTTGTGCAAGTTTAAGTTATAAGTTAAATCCTAACATTTTAAACATGTTCTATCTATATTCAATAAAAAATCAAGAATATTATTATTTTTTCATATATGTCTTTATAATTATAAATATATATTTTTTATTTCTTAATTTAATAATAAATCGAATTAAATAGAAAAAAAATGTCAATGATCTTTCTGAGTTTATATTTCCTTTTTTAAATTATTCAAATAAATTATGTTAATAAATTTACATGATCAGATTTAAAAAAATTGATAATCAATATATGATATTTATAAAAAAAAATTTACAACATCAATATGACTTGATGCAGTTTATTATTGGAATGAAAAAATTTTAAATAAATTTCGAAATTCTATGTTTTAATTTTATTATATATGTAATAATAATAATAATCTTTTAATTATGTTCAATTTCAATTTGTATAATTAAATT